TGAATCCGCGTCGAACTACCAGTGTTCAATGATCTTAAAAACTCGACCTCTGGTGGACTCTCGAAATGTTTTATTCTAAATATACTTCAAACTAAAATGTTTGAATTTAATTTTAAAATATTAATAAACTTTTTATTAGCTTGTTAAAAGCAGTTGTCGGTTAATAACGCACATAGGTACGTAACTAAAAATAAGAGGAATTTTACACTTCAAGCGGTAGAATTTAACAACTAAAAGCTGTCATAAAACGGTTCATTTGAAATACGAATACATCAAAACAAATTAAATAGCTACTATTTTATAATGAATAAATACGTACTTAGATAAGCTTCAACAACACCATGCGCAAAACAAAATCTGTAAAATCCTTCGTTCAGAAAAAAATCAGTTTGTAAAAGATAAATTAAAATTATTACATTCTTAATTATCAAATTGCTAGAAAGATGACTGATTTTGTAGAGTAATGTTGTAAGGTATTTCTCCCACTTTCATAGCATCCTTCGTGTTGTAGTGGTTCTGCACGCTGTTCCGGTATTCCAGAGGTCCGTGGTTCGATTCCCGGCGAAGGCGTTTGCTAATTTTCATCTTGTCTGCTTTACAAAAATACTTAATGTCTCTACAATGTAATATAATGTAATGTGTCGAAAAACCTAAAACATTCAAAAAAAACAAAGCTAAAAACACATTAATGTTCAAATTAAGCACAGAGGCATTCCAGAATTGCGTTATAAAGCATTTTTTCCGCCTTCTTAGCATGCCTTCGTAGTGTAGTGGTCAGCATGCTAGGCGGGTATTCCAGTGGTTCGATTCCAGGCGAAGGCGTTGCTCATTTTTCATCTCTCATGTTTTCACAAAATACCTAATGTCTCTACTGCGTAATAAGTAGTTTTGTGTGGATCTAAAGGGACATAAATCATGCTTTATTAGACAAGCGTAAAAATACTGGAAAACGTCTTATAAAACGCGTTTAAATTAAAATAGTAAAATTTGCATAATAACAGGTTTTGCGTGGTGCAAACGACTGAAACACATTAATAAGAATAGCCTGCCCTAATCGTATAATAGTAGGAAACTAGGCTGGGATAACAATGGCCCAGGTTCATATAGATGGTCTAGAATTTTGGAAATGTACAGTGTGTTTTTAGCATGAGAGTACTTAACACGTTGTCGAGCCGAATGTCTTTTCGAGAGATTAGAAGAAGGATAGGAAATCTCCAGGGATTATTCTTTAAAGCAGGCAAAAAAGAGCTGTCTTTTATTTAAGGTATCATATTCCCTCGCGCTACTACTTCTTCACCATATTGAATTCCTGAGTTTCATCGAGAGTTCTCTCAAATCGACAAGCACGACAACAGTAACAAATAGAAGCACTGAAGGTTTTAATATTCACCAGCTAAATTTTGCTGATATTCAAACCAGCATAAAAACGTAGTTTCTCATTATTTTTTTATATTATCCAGTATCGCGTTCATATAAAATTAACTGATTGAAGTTCAAACAAAACGTATAAAAAGAAAGAAATATGCGCTGGTTTGTTTACACGCAAATGGATTTCTGAAAGTGTTATGTTTCTTTCGCAATGATTTTTGAGATAGAAAAATACTGTTGAAAGATTTTTAAAGTCCTTTTTCATTAAAATATTTTTCAAAGCGAAATCTATTATTGAAGGAAGAAAGATAACACACGATTAGAAAAATATTTTAGTTCGATAACTTTAATTATTTTGATAGCAACATCTCATATTTCCCAAATGAATTTCCTTTCACATTTTACTTTCTTTTTCTTCAGAATTCCTTAGTTATGCATATTTTGTGAATTTTTAAGCTGAAAGTATAAAAAAAATGAACGTTCAGATAATTATCTTCAGATTCTTTCATGCTTTTCTTTATATGGATGACCAAATTTTTAATTTATTTCTAATGCAACAGCAGTAAAAACCAATTCAATGTAAATTATAAATATTAAACATAAATTATAATAGTAGTCTCATTTACTTTCAAGCACTTTGTCAGAAAACTATGCAACAGTTTACAGGATCATGTTGCAGTTATAATGCAATGGACAACGATGAAATAAAAGGCTTACCATGGGATTATCAGTCACCAGATATATTAATACTGTAAGGCTTCATTTCGAATTCCAGAGGCAAGTAGCAGCTCGATATATACACTTCCGTCATCTGCTTTGCAAATGGAGGAGATTTTGGCAAAGGAGCGGACCAAACACTTCTATCTTAATCGCAAAATTTCTATTCATATAACCAAATTGAATCGGCGCTTTTCTGAATGATGGCATAGGTCCAGCACCTTATTAATTAAACTAATATTTCATCCATTGCCTATTCATATGATTTTGCCTAAGTCCTCCATTAATCTTTAGTATCGCTTCCAAATTGTAGTAATTCTGCAACCGTTTGAATCAGTAGCCGTTTGAATTTAGAGCAAACAGGTTGCATTTCATGCTTTAAATGAGCTAAGAAAATGAATTTCAGGCAGACAAACAAGTATGTGGAATCATCTTTATATGCCCATATTGTAAGAATAAGTGTGAATGCAGAAAAATGTAATAGATATGTAATATGAACTGAAAAGTAGATAAAAATAAATACTCGAAAGGATACAAATGCATTCGTTCATAATATATCAGTCTTAGGTGTTACTGCACAAATGCAAATCGATAGTAAATTAAGTATTAGTATATGAAGCAAATGAGGTTGCCTAAGTAGTAAAAATTGCAAAAAGGAAAAAGGGAGGGGGAATTAATTAAAAAACATTGGTAATAGAAATTGCTCACATAAACATTTCATTGAATGGGGGGTTTCTACATTATTATTTCAATACTGTGGCTATTTATTTCAGTTATACTGTAATAGTAGTTTACAGCGCAGACAGATTTTCTCCAGATTTTTCTTTTTGGAGGCCTCATAATGATTTTTCATTATGGATGCTTTGGATTTCCTTTAAAAGCTAAACTTGCTTTAAAAGCGAAACGCTAAGCTGAATGATGTGTAGAACTGATTGACTAATCACATTACTTTGAAGATCCATTTTGTAGATATATTTAGTGCTAAAGAATGAAGCATTAATTTCATTTAAATACACGGGCAAATGAGTTTTTCCATCGATGTACCCGCACTTAAGTGGAGCATTAATTTCATTTTATTTACGGAAACGTTTTGCTGAGACAAATGGATTTTTCCATTGCTGTACCTGTACTTACTACATCATATTTCTGCAATATTTATATTTCATACACATACATATATATTTGTGTGTGTGCCCATGCAATATAAATATTTCTGAAATATCTATTTACCTATCTATCTATCTATCTTATATGTATATATCTCTATATATATATCTGTATACCTATATCTATATATATATATATATATATGGGAATACAAAACATTTTTGAAAAGGAAAATTATAAACCTTTCAAGAATTTTGTCACATTGTACAGTTGGTTGATCAGTAAATATATAAAGAAAGAAATTAAGAACCAATTTTTCACAAAAACCAAAAATTTAAAATTCATAAGCAATAAATTTCAAAAAATTTTATAAATGTACAAAAGAAGAATTTAACAAATGTTAAAACTAAAATTCTCAAAACAAGTAAAATCCAAATTCAAAAAGATTAATGAATAAAAAAGAATAAGAAATAAGAGTAATTCAATCAATTTCAATGCCACGTCATTAGTTATGTTTCCTCCTCCTGATGACATAGCACTGAAATTGAATGAATTCCTCTTCTTTCTTATTCTTTTTTTATTTATTTATGTTTTTTATTTGGGTTTTACTTGTTTGAAGAATTTTAGTTTTAACATTTGTTCAGTTCTTCTTTTTTACGACTTTTTTAAAATTTATTGCTTATGAATTTCAGTTTTTGGTTTTTCTGAAAAACTGCTTCTAAATTTCTTCCCTCGCTCTGTTTATATATATATATATATATGTGGTGTATGTGTGTATGTAATATAAATATTGCAGAAAACTTTTGTTCTAAAAAAAAGATGGGGCTTATATTAACGCCTTCTAAGCTCTTTCAGTTTTTGTTTAATTTTATGCATCAGATAGACGTGAGCCAATATATATAATATAAGCCAATATAAGACTAATTTATTTAACTATAACGAAATTTAGCCAATATAAGACTAATTTATTTAACTATAACGAAATTTAGCCAATATAAGACTAAATTTCGGTTAATTTTTGAATGAGAAGGAAAAGCAAACTGTTTTTTGATTTCTCACTCATTCAATGCTAATTAGACAAATTGCTGCTTCTTGAAATTGCAAATTTTATAATTTAATTTTCTAATTGGTTTAAAGATCACTGGTGTGTAATAGCACCTATTTCTTGTCAAAAAATTGTATTTGTTGCAGTTAAATTTATGAAAAGTTTAACTTTATGAATTTTGAAAAGTTTAATTTGTAGTAAATTAATTTAAAATCATTCCATATAGATTTGCAAGTGATTGATTCAAATAATAGGTTGCAATCTGATATACTCTAAGACTTTAATTGTATTTTCTAATAATCATAATCTTTTAAGCCTTCTTATTCTAATTGAACTGAATTCAAATCGAATTAAATAAAATGATTCAGAATTTCCAGAAAACTGCTTTTTTTCTATGCGTTAATACGTGTAAATAATATTAATTACTATACCATCAGTATGCCTTTATTTCTAAAAATAAGCTTTTTTCTTTTATTTATCAGTAGCTACGTGCAAAAATCACCTCGCGTGACATTTGTGACATCACAAAGACAGCAAAGAGTTAAGAAAGAAATGCGTGCATCCCCTTTTTCTCATCTTTGCTTTATTATTTGTGTAACAAAAGGCTTGAACATCCAGGATAAAGAAAAATAAGCTGAAGAAGTTCTCGCGAGTGAGCATCCACGTGGTTCAGTACTACGCATGCTCGCGACTCCAAACTCTGGTGAACCTCAAGCCGCTTGCTTTCCCGGCAGTACACGAGTTCCGTGTAGGAAAGCGACAACACCGTGTTTTGGAACTTTCCCGTTGCACCGTTAAAAAGTCGAAGCTGTTCATGCAACGCGCGACATAGGAACATTTTCAGTAGCACTTGGATACTGGATGATCATATTTTTCTGAAACTGGAAAACTATGTCGGTAAACAAAAGGTATCATAAAGCTGTGAAAATGATTTGGATGTTCTTTTTCGTTATCAGTGCACTGGAAGGTAAGTTTCCGAAATTAATTAAACACACGCACGTGCTTTACGTGTATTGTCTTAAAACCTTTCTCTTATTTCTTACATACAATCACAAAAATATGGGAAAAATCTTACTTCCATATTCTTTAAAAAATTATAAACAGAAAGATAAAAATCAGAGACTAGACATAATTTCTATTCGCTAAAAAATGAATTCTTTTTTTAACTGAAAATAATTTATTAAATACGTTAATCTCAAACGATGCCTAATATTTATTTATTTTAATTTTTATAATTTTATATTCAGCTGAAGTTCACTAATATTCTTTTAAAAGCCAAATAAACCTAATGATTTCAAAATTATTTCTGTTTCCGAATTTTACAAAGCTCGTTTCAAATTTTCTAAAGCATCTCATTACCATTTTAATGAAAGAATGAAAAGATAATTTTGATTCATTTCGTCTCTTTGAAATTTGAAAATATGACTTAAGTACCTATTGAATCACGCACGACTTAATCTTTAAACGGAATTAATATAACTGATAGAACTCAAAGTTTAAATTTATTGGATTTAATCTTTGCAGTTATAATACTTTATTAAAGAGGATAAGATAACGATTAACATAAACAGAATAATTTTTTCTGTACTTAAAAAATTTAAGTGGAAGATTTTATGCAAAATGTTTTGAAGAAATGCTGGCTTCAGATTGCGGAGATAATTACTTAGTAGCAATACAACAACTTATGTCAGGCCAAGAGGCATAAAACTCCTTCTTGTGCTTTTAAATTATAACATTGCATTACTTATGCTTGTAACAAAATAGATTTTTCAAAAGAATATGCATTTATAACTAATATCTTGAAGATTTTTGGTAGCGATATTTTTTATATATAATTAATATGATTGATAATATTTCTAACGTCATTTAATAAAACTGTTATATATAATGTCATGTATAAAAATTAATTACTATAAAGTTAAACAATTCAAAACCTAACTCAGTTGCGCGCTGAAAGCAGCAACAAGTGGTTTTAATAAGGCAAAATAAATAATACTTTAAAATTTTTCGATATTCAATTTGGAATCAAGCATATGCAAAAATAAAAAAAAAAAAAAAAACAGAATCCCAGTAGCAGGCAGGAAGAAAAAAGGAAGCAAAACATACCAAAACCAAAAATTAAATAAAAGAAATTTATAGCTTTCATTGCATGGTCATCAAGGAGTTGGTGCAAAGAAAGAAGTAAGTAAATCAGCCTGTTTCTGAACTAATAAAGACACAAATTAGAGTTTAAAACTAACACTAACCTCAGAATAACAATCAAAACAATCCGTGTCTTTATCAAGTCAATCCCTAGAAGCTGAAGTAAGCAGGGTAAACATTGCAGTGATGCTATAATTTTACAGTTTTGCAATTTTAGCTCTGCTTACTTCGGAGTGTAAAGGTTGGACTGATGTTTTTAAGTTTAAAACATAATTTGTATGTGTAGTGTTTCAAAAATAGGTTGATTTATTTAATCTCTTCTTTCGTTGCTCCAGCCCTCTGACGATGACGAAACAAAATATGTAAATTTCTTATTTCATTTTCAGTTTTCCCATGTTTATCCCTCTTTTTCACGCAGTTTGCCACTGTGCTTCTGGTTTATTCCGAGTTGAATACGGGATAAATTTTAAGCGTATTATTTATTTTAATTTTTTTTTGCATAAATATAGGACATATATATAGATATATATATATATATATATATATATATATATATATATATATATATATATATATATATATATTATATATATATCAAAATGTTCAGAGAACGAAAGATGTTATTTGGAACTCATTAATCGACCAGGTTTAGTGTTTGAAATACAAGTTATATATGAAACAATAAACAGGGAAGAGAAATACTTTGATTTTCACCTTTTTCAAAGTTCCATTTACATAATTTCATATGTTTCTCTCTACTACATTTGTTGTTAATCTTAATTTTAAAGCTTACACTATTCCTAACTAGTTTCATATTCCCGTATAAAACGTGTACTTGACATTTTGTCAATTTTAAAATTTAACACCTGTATTTTTTACCTTACACCTTTTCGTCAGATAGGATAATCATGATTTCTTTCATCAATCTTCTTTAGCTTTATATATATATATATATAAAACTTCTTCAATTTTATGTATACATATATGTATTATAAACACATGTTTTTAAGTAATTAAATGTTATTTATATGCTTTTGTTATTCATATATTCGTCTTATCACAATTATATTTAATTATTTGTAAATAAATATAGCCTTAACTTCAGGAATTCTACGTAAGTAGTTTCTCATATTTATATTATCTGCATGAAAACTGAAAACGGAAAATTAATAATAAAAAGAAACTGAAACTTGCAGATTTTATATTACGCCCAAAGGGACGGTTTTTAAAGTTTTGTGTGTTTGTTCTACTTTTTTTTATTAAATATCATGTTCTTCACATTTAAACCACGCAAAATTCAATTTAATAACAATATCACAAAATATTTAAAAACAACATGACTTTAGAATTTTCGATAGACAGTTTCGCGCGCTGGAGATAAAAATGATTTTTTCCATACTGTCTTGCCATTGCTCGCTTCGTAATATTTGAATTTGTTCATCAAAAATTCGTTAAAGATTTGTAAACTATGAAATAAATAATGAAACAAATTCAAAATTCAAAATTCTGGCGTCCAGGTTCCCATATTCGGGTGGAAGATTACGTTATTCAAAATTTGATGGCTCTAGCTACTGTCAGCTTTTCCTAATACTTGAAACATACATACATTCTTAATAAATTCTTAATTATTTAATTTCTTTAAATATAATACAGTGCAATAATATTTGGTGTCAACAATTTAAAACGTGAGTCACCGTTTATAGTGAAACGCTACAAAATGCCGATTTGAAACTAATAGCCCTTTTGGGCTAATAATAAAATTCGATAGTGAAACGTATGATGTCATTATCGATAATTGTTTAAGAATTTTATATAAGTGACAAAAATTTGGTTAAGTGACATGAAAGTGCATTCATGCCACTTGAAAGAAGTCTGTCGCTATGGTCAACGTGTACTTGACGCAACATATTTATGTTATTTTTTGTTGATTAAGAAGTTTAGTGTTTATTATTTGGAATCATTTCCACCATTTACTTTCGCCTATCACTGCATATGCATGTACAATTCTTATTTCTCATTAAAAAAGGAAAATAATGCCATTTGAATTTTTTAGAGTAATTTATATTTTAAATTATGATGCGTTAAATGTGTTAAGCTGGAAGCTGAGGCGTCAGACTGCAGTTATGCGTCATTATGGTTCTCTTTTAATAGCTTTCAAGCATTTTTTTTCAGTCATTTGGAATATGAATTCAGGACCTTATTTATATTTAAAATAATTGAAAAAAGGAACCAGAGAAGTTCAATCAAGTATTGAAAATATTTCTCAATCAAATTTTGCCATTATCTCTTTTCAAAATATCCCTTTAGGAATTTATGTATAGAAAATTTAGAATTTGAATCCCAATTGCGGTACTTTGTGGAAGACTTTAAAACTGAAGTATACTTAGCATTAATTGCGATCTGGCGTGAATGTTTGCTACGGAACTCAAAATAGTGATTCTTAACTTTGAATTTCAACGATGGAAATAAAAAGTCTCAGGCTGCACAATCTGGAAAGTAAAGAGATAAGAGTCCAACCCGTTTCCTTCACCAAACTGTTGCTTTAAATTTGCTTTTGAAAAAAAAAAAGACTGCATTTTCAACGAATCGTGGATAATTGCTTTGCCATGTTAAAGAAAACAAGTCCCTTATTCGCTCTCACACGGGAGATATTTTGTGACGTATATCTTTTGGTTAAGAGCGTTTTTACTTCCTTGGTTTTTTCTTTTTTTTTTTTTTTTTTTTTTCTTTTTTTTCTTTTTTTTTTCTTTTTTTTTTTTTTTTTTTTTCGACGAGTAAAAAGGAAGTATTGTAATCGCGAAAAAGTTTCAGGCAGCATATTTCAACGAAAATATCCACTTGGACCGCTTTCGAATGCAATTTAACGATGTTTTTGCTTGATATCTGTACGTAAGGACAGAATAAAAGACTCTTTTCCTCCAAAAAAACTAAAAAACTGCTTTAAAATGAATTCTGAAGAGAATTTTTCGTGGCGTCTGTACGAACGTATGTACGTGCGTACGTACGTATCTCGCATAACTCAAAAACGAGTAGCCTCAGAACGTTGAAATTTTGTATATAAGACTACAATAACATGTAGATGTGCACCTCGTATTTATTTACCAAACGTATATAAGTATATTTACAAATATATCCACACTATTACCCGGCTCAGTGATCTCAGTTTCTTTACTCTTATATGTTTGTAAATTGTACATTTTTGTCCTTAAAAATGATTGAATTATGTTGTTTTTATCATCCGGTTAAGGTTTTTATGCCTTTAGTAAATCTGTATGCAATATTTTAGAATTATCAACAATTTGAAAGTTGTTTAAGTGCCAGCTAAGCCTAATGAATTTTGCAGTGACGGAACATTGTTTGTTTACATTTATCAACAGCTTGGTAAAAGCTAGTGGATTTGTTGCCAATCTAGAGAAAACTTAAGCTTCGCAACAACAAAGATAACATCATTTCTTTATTATTGCGAATTAAATCATGCTTAATCCCCTTTCTGGAATTTATTTCGAGGAAATAAGTGTTTTAAGACTTTACTTCGTAATTTTTAATATAGATATTTTGAGTTTGTATGTATTTTTGCCTTGTCGGGAAGTGAGAACTGAATCAATTGAATGAGAAATACTCAATCGTTCTGTGAAAAGCTGTTTCTTTTTGTTTTGTTTGCTTAATTTCTTTTATACATCATTCTAGCTTTATTATAGTATTTGAATAGAACATGTGGCAACGATTACATAATTCTATTCTTTAAATGATATAAATTTTGTGCATTATGAGTTATAATATGAACGAAATATAATACTGTTTAGTGAACCTAGCGCCAGAGTGTCG